AGTAGATGGTTGACCAGCCTTTTTCCCCCACCCTCCACAACCTTTCCAGCTACAGTTTGCAGCAGAGGGTCAGGTAAGTCAGGATGTTGTCAGCTGCTCCTAAAACATCCTACAGATAATGCTGTTGTGATGTGATTTCCAGATGAGGTGGTTCTGAAGTTTGAAAATTCCCGAGTGAGAGCAAGAAATTTACTGTATGACACCCTCCCTGTGATGATTCATGGCAATGGACCCACCAAGGTAAGCAGGAGTCTGGAGAGGGAGGTTAGGTGTGAACTCATAGCAACAGATCTCTTTCTGGGTGGAGTTACTGAAGCGCATCCTGGGGGACTGCTGGGAAATTAGGGTCCTGTTTCCACGTACTATCTGATCCCCCCAGAGAGCTGTAATTCACTGGGGATTGGATGACCCCAGATACTTTGGCAAAATAGGGAGCTCTTTGATATTGGGTCCTTGGTTCAAACCAAGATCAAGTGTCCTCACATAATGAACATTCAGGTCCAACATGTCATAAGCCTATGGTTGTGGTCGGGCTCTGACTGGCTGGGTATGCACAGCACTAACTGTCACCGTTGGTCCACTTCTTACCAGTCTCAGCACCTAGATGCCAAGGTCTGATGGCCCATGGGGACTGAATTGTGCTGTTGCTCCACATCATGCACTGTCTCAACACATCAGTATTCTCCACTACATGAAGCTAGACCTCCAGCCCTGTACCTGTGTCAGCTGTTTTCTTGCAAGGGGGAGAAGGGACTTGAGGCTGATGATGGAACTGGTCTGAGACAAGCAGCTGGGGGACAAGTCTTACCTATCTTACTACTGAGAGCTTGGGGGCTTTGCTTTTGTAGCTGCAGCTGAACTACCTGGGAAATTACATACCACGGATCTGGACATTTGAGACAGGCTGCACTGTGTGTGACGAAGATGGAAGAAGTCTCGCCGGGTACAAGGTAAGGACTGACCTGGTGCAAGCTACAGAAGAGGGTTCCTATGTCTGCAGCTCAAAATGTTCTGGAGCTTCCCTGGAGACTGGGAGGTGTGGGCAGGGGTTTGGAGCTGAATGGTAGCCCTCATGTCTCTATCTGTCTTGTTGAATGCAGGATGAGGAGTTGCCCTTCATTCTGATAGGGATTTTTATCGAGCAGCCTACTCCCTTCTTCTCCCAGTTCCTTAAGAGGCTTCAGACCCTCCACTACCCAAAGAAACAGACTCAGCTCTTCATTCACAACCATGTAAGTCGCATCAGCTCTTGGATGTGCTGGCAAACAAGGGAAAGCATAACCCCTGCCACATCCCAGAAGCTTTTGCAACCTCTCCCCAAACTCCAGGGATCTGTAAGTGAGACACGGCTGATGTGCTCATTTGCTAGAGGTACATGCATTGCCTCTCTCCAGCCATGAAGAAGGAAGGAAAAGTACAGGTCATGTACTTTGGCACTGCCAGAGTCTCTGGAGCTGGCCTCCTGGTGAGCTTTGACTTGGCTCCTGTGGGCACTGGTAGCTTACTCTTGGCTCATTTTCCTTTCTGCGTAGGAGGAACATCACCGGTTACAGGTGGACACGTTTGTCAAGGAGCACGGCAAAGAGTATCGCGCCATCAAAGTGATTGGGCCAGATGACCAGTTGGAGAATGCTGAAGCCCGTCACCTGGGCATGTAAGGGAAGAGACTGGGGGGAATGGCCAGGTTTCAGGAACATACCTACAGTCTAAGCTCAGCAACACAAGCTTCTCCTTACTAGGAGGGGCTTTTTGCATCCAGGCTAGGCGGTCCGTGGGCATTAGAACAGAAGGGCTCAGAAGAAGTTTCAGGCATAGCTTTGTAGTTCTACGGGGTAATGCCAGATTTAGCAATGGGGCCTTGCATAACACTGGAAACACTTACACTTCCCCTAATGTGCTTGTTTAGATGGAACTTGTCTGGACTGACAGCACTGAAAGCCTCCCCCTTGCAGAAGAGGTTCTCTGACCAGCTGTTCTGAAAAGCTTCTCTCTCAAAATGCACCCCCTGACCACGTGGCATCAGCTTTCCCAGCTCTGCAGCCTGTCCTTGGCAGGAAATGTCTTGGCCCATGATACTGTCCAGCTGATGTATATAGAAGCCAGGCTAGATTTGCAGGCAAAAGAAACAGCCTCCCACAGTCTGTGTGCAAATATTCTGGCCTCAGATGGATCATGTTCATTGTTCATTTAATCTTCCAGAGCAACAACCTCCCCCAGCCCACACCCCCTCCTATCAGAGAAAATCTCATGTTCTGAGCCACACTTTTTCATCCATGGCAGGGTTCTTCTGCAGGGAAATAACCAGACACCTTTTACTTCTTTGCTCAGACATAGGGTTTTAAAGCTCCCCCCCCCAGATGTGGGACAGGGAGTAGATCTGCAGTCACAAACTGGAGAAGAAAAACACTGTGATCCTCCAAGAGAAAGCCCTGATCATTGTAAAAGCCTTTCCTGTTATCCTGTTTATTCTTGCTCTGTCCCAAGTGGATTTCCACCTGACCTTTGGACTCTGTCTGTAGGGATTTGTGCAGACAGGACCCCAGCTGTGAGTATTACCTCAGCCTGGATGCTGATGTGGTTCTGAAGAACCCGGAGACTGTGCGGATCCTGATTGAACAGAACAAGTGAGTCGTTCCATGTGAGCAGTCCTTACTGGGCAGGTTTCGGGTGGAGTGACATGGTGACGGCCTCCATCCTTGGGAAATAGGAAAGGGATAAGAGAACATTGCTGAGAATGGAATGTAAGGCTTGGTTACCATAGAGTTGGACCCAAATAGCAGGCCTTAGATGTAAAACCATCCCTGATTTTGCCCTTCCCTCTTTGGAGCAGAGACCAAATCAACCTACGTTGTTGGAAACAGATGGTCAAGAATCAGAATCATTTTTTCCAAACCAGATTTGGGTTATAATCCAGATTTGGATCCACATTTCAAACATTCTGAAATCCGAGGTTTAAATTCAGGTGTAGGTTATTGGTATAGCCCACTGTAGAGATAGGGAAATCTGGATCTGAATCGAGGGTGGGAGTCTAGGGAGTGGGAAGAAAAAGTGCAAAAGAGTTGGATTCAGAAAGACAGATCCAGTGTAAAGGAGCTCTGTTGACTTCAGTAATGCAAGACTGGTTTACAGTATTGGTCTAGGGAATTAATTTTAAGATCACTGGTCATTAGAAACTTCCAAGCCACAGAGGCTGTGAATGGGACCTGATTCTCCTTTCTTTGCCATCTGTGGTTCAGAGTTTTAAGTATGCTTGCAATATTGAAAAGTCAAGTAGAGTAGAAAAGGGCAAGAATAGTCTTGAATGAAATATTTTTACCCCTTCCTCCCCTGCCCATCTTTAAGGAAAAGGTTGTGTAGGAGCCAGGGACTATGTTTCAGAGTGGACTGACTACAGGCTGCAGTTAGGTACAGGCTCAAGGCTGAAGCCTGCCCTTCCTTACACAGGTACCTCTGTCACACTCAGTGAGAGCAGTATCTGTATGTATGGGGAGAATGGCTCCTCATGGCCTTCAGATTTGGAAATCCTTCACTTTCCCTCCCATGATAACACCCTTCCCTGCAATCTTTCCTTCCCCTTGTACCCACAGACAGGTGATTGCCCCACTGGTGAGCCGTCATGGGAAGTTGTGGTCAAATTTCTGGGGGGCCCTGAGCCCTGAGGGATACTATGCCCGCTCGGAGGACTACGTGGATATCGTTCAAAGGCGGAGGGTGTGAGTATGGCAAGGGTCAGAATCCTCTCTATACAAGGTTGGCTTGGTACAAACTCAGCAGCTGGGGAGCTTGTAGCTTTAAATCAGTTTAAAGCTAACTGGAAGCCAGGTACAAGAGTAATAGACAGTCACTATATAAGAAAAGGAAAGGAAGGTTGGTCTCTCAGTTTGGAGCTATTTTAGCTGCCATACACACTAGAAGGAATATTGGTCCAGTGGCTGGAGCTGGGGGCTGAGCACTAGGGTTCATGGATCATAGATTCATGGTCTGATCTTGGACAAGTCACCTGATCTCCTCACACATACCTCACCCTCCTGTCCACATCCTATCCCTATGAACAATAGACAAAGGGGTGTTAATTATCCCACGTGAGCGCATCCTTTACGACACAATATTTGCAAAGCTGTGTGGTTCTCAGATGCATAGTGCTGTAAGTATGCAGTCTTATTGGTGATGCTGTGTGCAGCCTGGAGGGGCTTTTCCTGGGGTTCCTGCATGGCATTTTGCTGGGTGGCTGCAGGATTTTTTAAATTGATCTTGTGACAAGCTAATATTCAAAAATAGCAACTGTGTTTATACTGATATGTTCAGGTTCAGTCTAGCCCTTAGCCCTTTGAGACCCAATCCTGCAGCCTCTACTTATGTGAGAGGCCTCAATGGGTAATTATGTACTACGCTGCTTTTTGGGATGGGAGCAGCAAGTCTGCCCCTTAGCTTTACTAGAAATGGAGAGGAGGGTATTGTAGAGGGCCTTTTGGATACTTGATGTTTTTGAAAGGTTCAGATCCCTCAACGGAGGTTGGAGAGAGAATTGTGACCAACTTCTTGTTCTGTGGCTGTCTCTGTATAGCAACCAGCACAGCTGAGGTCCTGATTTAAGGATTTAGGGTGCTGTAGTAATATTCTGATTTGGGAGTTGGCTTTTGCCCTGACAGTTGCTCTAGTTCCCTTTAAATCCATGGAATGACTCAGTAGGAAGTGGCTCAGGCCCTTAATGGTGTACCCAACAGGAACATGTGGCTATAGTTCCTTGACCTTTGCGGTTGCCAAGGGTTTGTGCTGCCCAAAAGGTGTGGGCCACTTGCTAATACTGCCTGGATGGGCCACACCTATCAATGCACCTCTTCCCCACAGTTCCCAGCAGGGGTGGCATGTACTTGGCTTGTGAGCCCGCAGTGGCCTGCCGTCTTTGTCCTGTTGCTGCTTTGTGTCTAACCCTCCCTTTTGCCATCTTGCAGCGGGATCTGGAACGTTCCCTACATTTCCAGCATCTATCTGATAAAAGGCAAAACCCTGAGATCTGAACTCGACCAAGGAAATCTCTTCCAGAGTAGCAAGCTGGATGCAGACATGGCTTTCTGCCAGAATGTCCGGGATCGGGTCAGTAGAGAAAAGCAAGTGGCTACTTGAAGGGAGCTGAGGCTGGGAGGAGATGACAGGAATGAGAGGTTTTGGGGCCCCCATTACCTCTGTGCCTATTCTGTGGGAAGAGATGAAATCCTGCATACCAGCTGGGAAGGGATCTCTGACTGTGGCCTGTAAATACAGATGGGGGCTACTGTAACCAGAGATCAGTTCTGCCTTTGACCCACCCATGCAGCTCTGAAAATGGATGTCAGTGGGAACTGCATACACACACTTTAGACAGGCAGCTGGGAGCACACTGGATGGGGGCATAGTACCATTGCAACCAGAAAGAGGCCCAGAAATTTGTCTTGCACCATCATCCACTCTGGGCTGTCCCAGCCTGATTTTGGTTCGCTCTCTCTTGCAGGGGGTCTTCATGTTCCTGACAAACCGGCATCTGTTTGGACACATACTTTCTCTGGAGAATTATGAAACAACTCATCTCCACAATGACCTCTGGCAGATCTTCAGCAACCCAGAGGTGAGGTACCTTGCATGGTGAGTGGATCTGTCACACTGGGGTAGGGTAAGAAGCTCCAGCTCCAGCATTCTCATCAGATAACAGAGCCTGGATTTTCTATGTGAGATTTTTTCTGTAAGGGTTTCATTGAAGCAGAACTGCAGGGCTTTGAGGAAGGGCATTTGACTCGTAAAGACCTTTGGGCCCCAGAGCTTCAGAGCCCATGAACTGTCCTCTGCTTCCTCTCTCTGCAAACAGAAGGAAGGTTATGACTGCATATGACCTTATACTATATCCAGGCTTCACAGAAGTGACCCTTTACTTATCTTTACCACAGGACTGGGAAGAAAAGTACATCCATGAAAACTACACAGCAGCCCTGAAAGGGAAGCTTGTGGAGATGGTAAGAAAGTACTGTCCCTGTTCCTCAGCAAGGCCTTCCTGCTTCTGTAGGAAGTAATTCCACTGGAGATGGGGTTGCCTCAGAGAACTTCAGTCGAAAAAATAGTGATCCTCTCTTAGTTTACAGGTGTCCTTAGGGACAAATCCTGCTGCCAGCAGCATATATTTGGGTCTGTCAACTCCACTGGAAAGTGGGCACGTGAATCAGAAGGCAGAACCCAACCCAGCATGACCAAATCCTAAATATTCATTCAACTTGCCTTTCTTCCTCCTCTTACCTAAATCATCTGGCTTTCTTCCTCTTGTCCAGCTCTGTCTCTCTGCCTTCTATTTTTACCCTCCTCCTGTTTTCATGTGTTCTGTCTCTTTCTCTAGCCTTGCCCAGATGTTTACTGGTTCCCTATATTCACTGACACTGCCTGTGATGAGCTGGTAGAAGAAATGGAGAATTTTGGCCAATGGTCTGCTGGAGGGAATGTGGTAAGAAAACTGGGGGCTTTCTGGGTTACAGTTTTTGCCACTTGCAGTGAGTATCTGGTAGCATTTGCAGCGCACTACAGGAGACTGTTTAATGCAGTAATTAAAATAAGGGGCTGGGTCAGGGCTGCGAGTTCTGTTTCCAGGTCTGCACCTGACTCACCACATAATTTTGTCCTTGTGCCCAAATTTTTAATTATTTGGTTGATTTTTTTTTTTTTTTTCCCCTGCTTCCCTGTTTGAGATGAAGTAGACTGGATTCTCAGAGGTCACAAGCTTCAGCAGCTTCCATTGACTCCTACTGGTGTTGCTGCACATGTATATATTTGAGCATCTGAGATGGTGACCATTTTTGAAAATGTGGGCCCTAACCTCCCTGTGCCCTGAGCACCCCTCTGTCAAATGGGGGTTATAATACCTGCTTATTCTTAGGCTTAATGAATGCCTGCAATCAACTTCACAGGCCTGGAAAGCCTGCTAGAGATATAACATTAAGTTACCATCAGAAGCCAGTATTTGTATGCTTCAAGATACTAATCATCAAATATCTCTGGTGTTTCAATTACAGGACAACAGAATACAAGGAGGATATGAAAACGTCCCAACTATTGACATTCACATGAACCAAATAAAGTTTGAAAGGGAGTGGTACAAGTTCCTTCTGGAATACATTGCTCCCATCACAGAGAAATTGTACCCAGGCTACTATACTAAGGTTAGGCATTGAAAACCATGCTTCCTGGACACTGTCACACAGTCGGTCGTGACTGAAAAATCTTTATTGTACATTCTGCCTTCCAAAAATAAGATGCATGCTTTATTTCGGGGGGGGGGGGTGCTGTATGTGAGAAAGTACAATACCTTTGGATATTACACCAAGGGTATACCCATAACCCATAGCTGAATGCCCTCTGAGAGCTGTAACCGGCAATATGTTTATGGGTTTCTTTTCTCTCCGGCAGACGCAATTTGAGCTGGCCTTTGTTGTGCGTTACAGACCTGATGAGCAAC